AGCGTCGGGGCATTTGCCGCTGCCTGTGGAATTCTGGGAGTTGTAGTCCGGCGCTGAGAGAAGGCGCTGGGAGGACCTGTCAGAGGAAGAGAGTGCCTCTGAGCATGTGGAGAAGGTCTCTCATCCTTTTCCTATCCACTGAAGAAACATCAATATCAAGGGGGTTAGGCACTCTGTACATGCTTAGAGGCATGCTTGTTTTGGCAGGTAGACCAGCTGCTATTAAGACTGAAATTCCAGAAACTAGTTTTCTCTCTCTATATTTTTTTAATGGTTGCTTTGCATTGCAATGGAAACCTAGCAGAATAAGACAAATGCAGGAATCAGGAGGTGAAACCTTTAATCAAACATTAAGAAAATAAAACAAAGAACCAAACAGGGAGTTTTCGATGACACATCATTATGGCCTTGGGTTCTTTTTTTAAAGAGAAAGGCAGGATAAAAACATTAATGATACATAATCATGGCCTTGGGTTCTTTTTTAAGGAGTAAGGCGGGATAAAAACATTTTAAATAAATACATTTCCATAAATAAATTCTTAAAGGCTGTGCATCGAGTTATTGTGGGTCGTTCCCTTCCAAACTTATATGCCGTTATTAATGTCCCAGATTCATGTAGGTGACGAAGCTGAGGCCAGGTTCGTTGCTTAGATGGAGCAAAATAAGTTATAACCTTTGAACATGTGAAGAATATCTTGTGTCCGAAGCTGACATAACGGGAGGCAGGTCGTTAGTTCCTCTAATTCAGTATTACACCAACAGCAGTTACCTAGAACTTCCCTAAATCTGGCTGGAGATGCGACAGGTTGAATTATTTGCTGTGTGCCACTTTTCACAATGTGGCTACACAAGAATTTATTTTTCTGCACCCCATTCTCCCCTCCCACCACAAAAAAAGATCTTAAAAACGGGAGTGCATCTAATTTTTGCAGATTTCCTTCCCTTTACTGTTATCCTGGGAGTATTTTCAGCCAGTATTTCATATATCTGGGAAGGAGCAAGAAGGGAGAAAAGAGAGCTTCCTCCTTTGTCTTCTTTCCCAAAACTTAAAATAGTGCATATTATGTATTGTATTAGTTAAGGTTGGAAAAATTCTATGGCGCACAACGTATTGTCAGTTTCACTTCAGGTTTACCTGGAATGCATCTTACTGTTTGCTCCCTAAATATATGTCTTAGCAGTGTGCGTACGTGTGTGGTTTCTAGGACCAAGAAGTACACAGCAATGTTCATTGCAACACAACCTAATGTCTTGTATTACTGGTACATTGGGTATGTTCACATTGCAGATGCTGCAGCACATTTGTGGGTGGAGGCTGCAAGAATACATAGTTCTGGGGGACTGGAATGTCCCAACCTGGAACATGCGACTTTTTAAAAAAATTCATCTTAATTGCACACAATACACATGGCTCTTTTGTCCTTTGTTTTGTTGCACACTCACATGTGTCATGGATAGCACTAAATTCTAAAATGTATCAATGATATGTGCGGCCATCTATCTGTCCAGCCACCTTTGGGGTTAGTGCATTTGTATTCTGAATTTTAGGAGGCATGTCGCTGTGAAATCAAGTGATGCCCCAGGTGTGCAATCCAGTATTGGACCCTGTGCCTGCATCGTTGGGACAGGGAAGACAGAAGAATGGGATCTGTTTGTGAGATTTATTAGACATCCACCTTTCCCTTTGTCGTGATCTCTGGTACTCGTGACCAAGTACTGATTAAAGTACATCTGTTTCTCCAACCATTCTGTGACAAATCAGACCTGACATTTCACAGGCTGAGAAGAGCTGGGTTGAGTGCTTAAATCTGAGGCACTGCGAGCATCCCAGGATGTCACACAGCTTATTATTAAACCTAGTTACACGACAAAATGTTTCTCAGACACTCTAATGCAGCCTCTGTTTCTCCTCTTTTAAAATGTTTTGCATGTACCCTAACCCGGGCTTCACTACAGAATCTCTTTCTGTTTTAAAAAGCATTCTTAAAGAACTGGGCAGATCTGATAGCACTTTTCAAATACTCGAAAGGCTGTCATGCAGAAGAGAGGCAGGACCTGTTCTGAGTCATCCCAGAGGACAGGACA